GCGTGGTGGTGGTGGGGGGGGGAATTACTCTGAGTGCGTGGCGCGTCTGCTGTCTCCCGTAAAGCGTTGCTGCGGCGTGGTGGTGGTGGGGGGGGGAATTACTCTGAGTGCGTGGCGCGTCTGCTGTCTCCCGTAAAGCGTTGCTGCGGCGTGGTGGGAGGTATTGTTGCGACTGCGTGCACATGTTGGTCGCAGTAGAGTCACGACAGGCGAAACTGCGAAGGAATGCTCCGGTGTGTCTGTTACAGTGACGTTCGCGTGGTAGTTCACTGCGATCGTTGTTACCTCCGACCGTTGTTCATATTATGGGAGCGTAACTAGTGATACTATTAGGAGTGAGGAGGTTCTTGTCATTCTTGTGCCTATGACGTGTTGGTAGATACAGGGAAAATATACATGTATAGTCTTTGAGATCGACATCTTAATGTAGTTTATCATGTTATGAGGAAATTGCGTGTTGAATATGAAGTTTGCTGACATCTCAGAATTGCATGGTCGCTAGTCTCTAATCTAATGTGCAATTCATGTTATTTACTGGGAATATTTGTTAAATGTTAATTTATTATCATTATTATTATTATTAGCTATATTATACACACTGTAAATTTGTGAGCATGCGTTACAAATACGGACCGAACATGGACAGACGAATACAATAACCACTCATTGTGTTCTACTCCCTGACGCTGCAGCTGCGACTGTAGCTGCGTTACGTTTGCTGACTAGGTTGCGTTTTCTCACGCGGTAGTAACACGCTTTTTACGTGTGTTTTGCGTTCCCACGCTACGTTACTAATACATGAAGCAACGCAATGCTTGAAACGCCGGTGTGCCCCCGGCTTATAGTTTATAGTGTTGGCTTATAATATATTGTGCTTGTTGGATGTTGAAGTAGTATTTTGTTGTTATGTTATATGACATTGTGTTAGTAGAATGTATGGAAATGTGATAATTGTTGAATCAGGAGAGAAAGTTATAGTAATTTATATCCGCGTGTGTTGTGAGTGTCGTAAGTCTCCAGTGAGTGTGATTATGCTGTGTGGTCAACTGCCTTTAATTTATTAGATTCTTGCCAATGTAGTGCTAGTGTTGGGCTAGACTTGAACGTTCATTCTGATGTTGTGCATTGCGTAAGCATGCTGCGATGTTATATTACCAGATGTGTATAATATAGATAATATATATTATAAGAGGTAATCTATATTGTACACTCCTGGTATCACGTTGCCAGTCATCCACAGTATGTGGTAATAAGTAAGGCGGGCACCACACATAGCACGACTAAGACAGAAAGCTGTAAAGAGAGTTGAGAGTGATAGTACATTATATAATCATAAGGGATGCTTGAAAGAGAGGTGTCACGAGCGTCCTCTGATTCAGATGTCATTCAAAGTATAGCTGGATCGTTTGACCTATCGCGTTTGTTAACTTGTTGTCATTTGATGAGTGTGTGTGCTTGTGCGAATGAGTGCTGATGGCTTCACTTACTGGTCTGTGCGTGGCTGTGTGATACGTGTGTTCAATATTCATGTGCCATCGTGTCCAGTATTGATGTTTACCCTTAATCGCGTGCACTGATATGATTAGCCACAAGTTAGTTACCTTCTCGCTTCTGACTGCGTGGCGTGAAACAGTCGTAGAGCCTGGTCGGGCTATGATATTGTGCGACTGAGTCTTTTCTCGTGTTCGATGTGTTGTGCTGCATATGTGATCTACTGTTAGGAGGAATTTATCTACATGTTCGAATACGTGTACGATGTTATTGGTTATTCTGCAGAGTGTTAGCCAGGAAAAAAATCAGGGAGTCTCACCATCTGAGCGAAGCGAGGATGCTGCGGGCACGAAGTGCTCTAGGGGGAGGGCCTTGCCTTAAAATGGAGGAAATTTAGTCTGAAATACCAAAAAGACAGGAATCTGATGTGATTTTATCAGGAGTGAATTATAGAGATTATTCACTATTATTCACTATTATTCACTATAATAATAGAGATTATCTCTGTGTTCTCTATTATTAGAGATACGCACTGTTGTCAGTTATACAAGGTGTGTAATATATTTTATCCGTCTCATCCAAGAATAGGCCGTCCAAAAGACGGGTAGACGGGTCTCTGGCTAACACACTGCATGGCGACAACCCCCAATTCGCCATTGACCGTGTAATATCAGGGATTAATAATGACAAATTTGTCATTATTCACCCATGGTAATATCATCCACGTTTGTCTGGAGTAGGGGTGGGGGTGTAACTACACCTTTCCTTCCGCTAGCTACGGCTGATGCCGACTCCGCACTGCATTACACCGTTACTGCAGTATGAAGTATAAGATTGTCATTTACCTTCCTCCTTAAATGGGCTGTAGGTTTTAGCAGCAACGTAGTAGAATCGCGAAGTCCGGGACACTGTGATGCCATTAACTACGTGCAGTGTTAAAATACGCAGGGAAAAAAAGTGCTGCGCCGTGCCTAAAAAAACTAGTCAACTTGTTCGTTATCCATAACAAGTGGAATTGAATATTAATTCATCGTTCATATATATATATATATATATAATACAGTATATGCTCTTTCGTGTTTATTCGAGAATACCGTCAGTTGGAAATTGCGAGACGCATAGAAATATAATTTATGGACTATTAATATGTTTATCGATGAATCTAGTCGTTTTGAGAAAGAAAAAAGCTGAAATTTTGAGGTATGCATTGATATTATACAAAGGTGTGTATTATATAGCTTGGCCGTTATACAGCCAGCTAGAGTGCTTCTCTGTCCAGTTGATATAATATAACTCGAGTATTGTAGTAATCGAGGTTCTAGTCTATATTATTTCTGATGACAAAAATGCCAAAAATATCTTGCGTAGCATCATATACTCGTGCTCTTGATATTTGTTATATATATATATATATATATATATATATATATATATATATATATATAGAGAGAGAGAGAGACAGATAGACATGCACACATGCATACGTATATGTGAAGATGGTGTTTTTATTTCGTTCTGTCAAGGCAATGTTTGGGCAGCAGAAGTATTGGCGCTATGCATGTAGGCACTATAGTCGTACTATAGGCACAATAGTCTCTTTTGAATGTGTTATTTATTAATCAGTCGTCGTACTAACGTGGTTAGTATATATAGTACAATTGAGACGTATAATATATACCATATATGGTGTCTGTCATATTGTTGTCAGTTGAATAAAGTTCGGAGGTATGAAATCACAATGATCTCATGTTGTCACGTGTGCTTAATTATAAAAGAACCTTACATGGAAGACTCATAATTATTGCTTTCTATGCCAGTGAAAACATCAGATTGTTTTATATCCGTGGGTGATGAGCATCAGCCCACTT